AACACAAACACTACACATCCAGTAACCCATTGTTCGGCATCGTAAATACATTAAAATGAATAAGAAGAGAGCAGATAGATCACTTTTAATCATGCCTACATTGTGGTTGAGACTTAAAAGTGACTCGACACTGGGAACTACAATCATATGGAGATTAAGGAGTATTTATTTGATTGTCATTAAGACCACTCAAAACAAAAAATTGGTAACTATCATGCTGTCTGATGAATGTAAACCCGACAAAGCAATGGCAAATGGGCCTCGATTTAACTCGTTTCTCTGTACTAAGCAACTGTTTCGTGCAGTTCTACAAGGAAAAACCAATTCACTTCAGGTAGTTACCACGGCTGTTTGATCACTGTTTTGGAAACAAACCCATTATCGTTCTAATTCATGTGATAAAGAATTTTGTTTTTTTGGACCCGGTTATGCGCTAGCATTTTTCTCAGTGGCGTCAAAGATCCATTAAACTTCTTTATTTACTGAAAGGGGAAGGATCGGCGCAGAATGCAATTTCAGTTTTTCCTTTCCGACTGCATTCAGTACCACAGAGTAATCTCGGATTCCCACTATCGGGTTTTTACTCATTGACCACAAACCACCGTGGAGTCGTCGACCAGATGTCACTTGCGCGTTCATTGACATATGCCTGGTCAAATTATCAGCACCATCTTCTCTTATGTCCGAGGTCCATTATCCGTTGTGGCTTGCATCCCACTTCGGGATTTCGACAGTGGGGAGCACAACTGACATCAGTATTGCCCCCCCTTGTCGGGCATTGTATCGCTGATAGTGAACAAAAAACCAGGAGAAGCGCAGTCTGTCGGCTCCAGCACGTTTTTCGAAAAAGTAAAACTGCAGTTTCTTTTGCTCTGGCATGCGTCTAGCATACCCGTTATGGGTCCTAAATATTAATTGGAAAACTTTCCTCACCAAAGAAGTTCAAATCTTCAGCGACCTTTCAGCTATGAGAATTGAATGTTTGCATCTTTTTCTACCATTAGATTAGTTGAATAGTACGAAAACAGATTACATATTTTCCTGAACCATAGCGGTGTGTTTGTTCTGACCTGGACTTGTTAAAATTACGTTCGTTTTGTGTTCCCGCTTGGGACTGAACCTCTGGGTTGGAGGCGGAAATCTCTACCCCTGAACCACACAAACGATGCCTCAATACGTCAGAGCACGAGCGCAATGAGAAAATTCGTTATTATTGTTCAACGCATCTATCATATATTTGGTTCAAATTTCATTGTAATAAGATGAATAATTGATCCAGAGATCAGAAGAACCAGTGACTCGTTCTGCATGCGCATTCCAAACAACCCTGTCACAACAAGCTATTTATTATTTAATCAGTTATTTTGAAATAAAAACAGAGAATTATGCATAGATATTTTTCTGTTTGCTTTATTTTCATGCAATTCAATTTAAATTCACCATCATCTGTGGTTTACTTTGTCTCATCAGCGATGCAACGGTTTCCCTTCTTTTGGCCTGGTGCAGTCAATTTGAGAACACCGGACACCTGCTCTTTGTGTACTTACAATCTCCGATTTTACACTCCACTACAGTCGATAAATTCAAATGACCACAGTGACTGACTTTCAGCGGGGTTGAGACACAGCTATTCTCGGCTTACAGAGAATTTTCATCGTGTCATCAAACCAATAGTTCAAATGTTCCATTTTTTGCACTTTTTGACCTAAAACATGTGTGGAAACACATTGTCTGCAGCCCCCTCCAAAAGGGTCTATTTTCTACTGGAGATTTCTGTCCTTATATGTTTTCTAGCTGCTATCAGGCAGGAATTTTGTTTCGCGCTCTAAATTGTGTTCTTTCAGACGTGTCAAAATGATAGGGGTGGATTGGGGACAGGGGTTAATGACTGCATCAATCTTCCCTCAATATGCTGCTCTTTTTTTGATGAGTCAATGGTCTGATCTATTCATCTCAGTTTAATCTCCGTGAATCTCTGTGTAACCCTAATATGTTTTAATCGCGTGGACGATTTGTTTGTTTAAACCGGGAGATCGATGATTTTCGGAGAAACCGTGTTACAAGGAAAATTCGTATGAGCATACGGTGCTATTAGTGAAAAATGATGATGGTTGAGGAGTTCAGGATACGTGTTTATTTCGAGGAGTGTAAGTTTGAAAGACGTATTGTGAACAGTTGTTTTCAGTGAATACCGTCTTCGGTGAGTCCCGTTGTCTTATCTGACAGCCCGTTGCATCGAATGGACAAATGGATGGATGCTACTTTCGAATCGATTCCGTGACCACATGATCGAATTCCATCATCACCTTTCAATATTTATACGTTCTCAACAAGGGCCCTCACTCGACTGCGACTCAATTCCTGTTCTTTTCTTTCTGTGCCACTGAATACCAACTGAAAAATGAAATTATATATATATATATATATATATATATATATATTTGCGATAAAACATTCGCAGACTCTGTATCGATTTCTAGTACTAATTATCATTCCCATTGGTTGTCGAAATCCCCTGACAGGTTTCCCAATACACATTTGTTCTCGCCGCTTACGGGGAACAGAAAGCTCAACCGTCAGAGTTTATGGCCTTGGACGGATTCACTGTGGACTACTGTGAAGCGAAACCAGGTAAGGGATCTGAGTGCTGATGAATCTCGAACACGCCTCATTGAATTCCAATCTATTTGATCCCATCGTTTGGTTAAGTTTGACTACTCTGTATGGGCATAATGTCTCCACCCCCACACACGCATACAAAACCGTTATCTCTGTTGTTCTCGACCGTACGAATAAATCGCTTAACGCATTCAATGGATTGCAGAAAGATTTTCCGGAAAACCAACAAGAAAGGATTGGATAAAACTGATGGGAGAAGAATAACTGTCATTAGAGTTTGGAAAAGGTATATTTATTAATCGGCTTGAAATGAAAAACTGGCCTGGGCAGTTTGCTGCCCAAATACACCCCTTGTTTGAGTATCACTGGACGGTAATTTTTTTAATCTGTTTTTTCAACTTCATTCGACCAATAAAACTATATATTGGTTATTAAAAAACCTATAGAAATATCTCCACTGTAAAGTAATGCCAGGGAAATGTTAATACACATCATCAGTCAGCGAATGACGATTCTCCTACGGTCCAGGAAAATGCTGTCACCCAAGCTCTTCTCGAGAAGTATCTCCTGAACCGTGAGATATCATGTCGTGTATAGTCTATGCCAGGTCAAAGACAACACAGTTTCCCCATGGTTGTCCCACGTTTGGGAGTTTGTTGATTCTACTCGGAAACCATAAATGGACTGCAATACACAAGCTCCGGTGTCGGTGAGTTTGTACGGGACATGCAAACTTAGTTCTAATCCAAACCCTGCACCAAAATGATGATCACGCTCCCATACGGAAGACTAGCAGTTGAAGTCCCATCCGGGACACACTAACAATACGCACCGCTGCAGAGTCTCGGTGCAAATGGTGGTCTTTGTTAGTCATTCTCACTAGGGTCATTATTGCTTGTTGTCCACTTTTGTCACATGAGTAATTCCTGTCGACAAAAAATAACTTACAATCGCTAGCTAAGTCTGACAAGTCAATCGTCCTGAACACACTTAAGAGAAAGAGAGAGAAAGCTGAAAACTCTCGAATCTGATTTCTCGATTCCAGTAGCACTAATGAGACAAATGATATATTTGATAGAAATTTAAAGATCTCCATTTTGATTGTTCCAATGAACAGCGGGGGCGGGGTCAGAAATTGAAGCATTAGAGTAGTCTCATCAATGATTGTCAATCATTGGAATCATTGGGGATTGTGGGGCTATCGGTTGACTGTAACAAGTTTTAACAACGAGCACACATCAGTGATGAGGGTCTGTGGACCAGGGCTCAATAAGAGGCCAACACGGGTAGAGAAGACCAATCACTGCCTTGTGACTGGTGGTTTCAATCATTTTGACATCTCTCTCCTAACAACCGTAGACATGAAAGATGTAAATTTTCCTATCCGATTCAGTATTTAACTTGATGACATTTTTGTAAACAATCCGGAAATTTTTTCATTGAAAAGTAGGATTCCACAAGCAACTCGCATCATTGCTCTATTTTTTTACATCCTCAAATTCATGGTAAATAGTTTCATCAACCAATGATCCGCTTCACCTCAAGAATCATTATAAGGAGAATTTGCTCTCCTGACAACTTAGCGAGCCTTAGACGCATGATTTCAACAACCGATTTCACTGTCACTTGCAGTACTGATAGCTCTTCCAGTAACGAGTATCTTACCTGTTACCTTAATTTTTCCTATGATCTGTGTTGTCCAGTTAAGACTTTGTACATTTGTACCACCAGTTTCTCCTTGTCGCTTCTAAAATAGCTTCGTTGTGATAGAAAAAAGAGCATTACAATCCAAATGAAAATACTGCCCAAAATCGAAACCGTATTGAAAATCTTATAAGAAACGAGAACTGTCTTGATATGTAGTCTGCTTTGAGGCAGCTCTGTGGACCAAGCAATGGCTGCTTTCCGCATGCAGAAGAGTTAAATCGTCAGTTTACAATTTTTTCTGTACTAAACTCTACACCACCTACATTTACATCTACTGGATAGAATTACTCTGTCACTCCGGTAGATGTTTTGGTGCTGTAGTCCCTTAAATCCAACAAGGCACACCGTCCTGATTCATTATCACCCGAAGAACTTGCTTTACTCATTTCTGAGGTTTTCAGTTTGTGCACGTCATCTGGAAGTATCTCTGATTTCTGAACAGATGCCCAAATAACACCAATCCTCAAAAAGAGGTATTCCAATTACTGATTGATTGCCGCACATCAGCACAATTCGAAAGAGTGCTTCTAAACCGAATCATTTGCTTCTCTGTTACTCGTGACTCCATTCCATTTGCTCACAAACCTCTGTCTACTCTTGATGCTGTTGCTCACGTTGCTCACTCCGTTTCATCCTCATCGGATAAAGGGTCTGACATCGTCCGTTTAATGTTTCTTGAATATGCCAATGCTATCAGATCACTTGACGGTGACATTCTCATTCAATGTCTCTCGGGTTGCGGCCTAGCACCTGAGGTGTTGAATGTACTAATCAACTCCTCACGTAGAACGCACTTCACTTCTCTGTAACGCTAAATATTCCTCTTTTCTAAGGATCAATTCTGGGCTTTTTCAGGGCGCTATTTTGTTTCCATTTCTTTTTTCACTGTACATTTTGAGAACCATTCTATCCCTCCCGGCTGTACCACGTGCAAGTACGCTGATGATGTGTTGATTTGTTGTTCCTTGACTGATCCTGACAGTTTTCACCAACTTCTGGACTGCCCTAATCAGTCTACATCCCAGTCTGCAATGCTCCACGTCGATCGAAATGTAGATGTTACTTTTAGCCTTACAATAAACCTCCAGAAACAAACACGTTTTAGTAACCCGTCTGAACTTGCTGTTAACAGTACTGCGATCCCCAATTCTGACTCTGTTAAATATCCTGCAGTTACTTGGTCACTTAGCCTTTCTTGGTCCAAGCTTGTTGAACACGTTTACATTCGGGTTCGTGGATTATTCTTTTACGCTTTCGGGCTAAAAAATGCATATATTTTGTTTGCTGTAACTTATCGAAAATGCTAAAAATTCACCATATTGGGTGTAAAACAGCTTCAGTTGACTTGAATTAATCAGCAAAGTATCATCCCTTGCGCATGAGGATAAGAAGCTGTGGGAATAAAAAAGAAAACAAATTGGACCGTAAGGAGAGTAACTTGTCCTCGACGAAACGATCCCTTCATGATGATCATTATCATTGGTTAGCTGAATTTTGTTCATAGCATTTTTATATTCCGTTATAACAATATGTATATTATATATTATATATATATATATATTATACAATGAATGAATGGCTGGACGAAATTTCCCTGGAAGCAAACTATCGGTTTTGCAATTTCAGCTACTCGTCAGGTGTGCGTATCCCGTAATCTTTTCTCATTTCAGTCATTTAATTATACCCAGGAATTCCTTTTTTCATCATTCTGTGAGCCTATCGGTAAAGATTGGAAATTCAGTCTCCCAATTATATACTCTGTTTGACATTAAGAAGAATGTCTAAAAATTAGATCTCCAAAGTGATTCTACCGTGTTTTCGCATTTGAAGGCTGTTTGTATTCGACCGCGGCTTGAGTTTGGTTCTGAACCATGAGATTTCACGCAAAAAACCGTTTACTTTTCCCAGTACTTCTGGTTGTTAAACTTTCAAACCTCAAGGAGCAAGATTCGACCTTCTTAACTCTTCATCCCCAGTACACATTTTGCGTTGATTGGTATGTATGTTTAAAGCTATTGATTGTGGTTTTAAAAATCTGGAGATAAACGACCCGAAGCGGACGAATATTCCACCAGGATATGAAGTTCTTTTCCTTTCGACGTGTTTTTTCCCCTTTTCGGTCTCTTTAAACTAACGACTCAATTCTTGAACTCTCCACTCCTTCCACAGATCTGATCAGTTCGGCTTCCTCGATGCGTAGCGTCAAACCAGATCATCACCTATCTACCTCATCGCTCAGCTCACTTTCCCGGCTGCGGTTCGGCAGTCTGAGTCGAATCAGTAGCAGTATGCATCTCCGATCGGGCAGCACGATGAACGTGTCCACGGCTACGTCCGCCAACGGTGGCACAGAACCCGAACTCAGTGCTACATACTTTTTCAAACTGGTCCGTGAGGGTGACACGGTTGTTGTAGCCACAGCCACGGAGTCCGATCGACAGAACTGGGTGCAGGCTATCTATCGGGCGACTGGACAAACACACAAACCATCCTTGCCAAGTCAAGCAACCAATGTGGCCAGTAGTGTCGGTTCGATTGGCCCCGGAGGGACCACGGGAACAGCCGGATCGGGCGGGAAACAGACAAAAGGTAGGCAGACTGTACAAAGAATGGTCTGTACAGAAAGAGAGAGAGGAAAGGTTGAAAAATTGCGTGATACAGGTGTGATGTAACGTTTACCATGGTTCGTAACAGACAAAGAAAAGTTTTTCTGTTTGAGGTCTGCATTTTCCGTCGTTCTTTATCTATCTATTCGGTTATATTTAAGTCCTTCATCCAGTTTCGGGAAAGGCGGTATCGTGACAATCGGATCATAAAGCGTGCGGCAGAGTGATGTTCAAAAGTTGATCGAGGAAAAGACATCCGCGTTATTTGGAATATGCAGATGATCGTTTGGTTCAAGCACAGCCTTTTTTCTTCATCTTTTTCAGCTGATGGTTGTTAATTTTTGTGTTTTTTCGTCTCCTTTATTGCTTTCAAATGCATTAACTATTCAAGCGGCATTTCAGTAGGTGTTTTTGATGTCGATCGCGTCATGTGTCTCCATTTATTGGGATTGGAACGAGGGCCTAAAACGCAGGCATCGTTGAGATATTATGGAGTTAATGTGAGTGGAAGGAAAACGCTTTACTATTATTATACGGCAGTTCCGTAAGATCATGTTCATTTTGATCACGTTAATTGGACCTCGGAACATCCCAAAGAGAAACAAGAGAAATTTATGCCACTCAACATAGGCATTGAAAATTTGTGGTGATGATATTCCCTAAGAGGATAATCCGAATGTGGACGTAAGCCTCTAGTACCACCGGTTAGTCTCATTCTGACTCAGTCACTGAATGAGACAACCAAACTACAGACGAGGCCATCCAAAGAATACATATATTTGTAGGGGAGTTGGAGAACAGGAGAAACCCATTTGCTTGAATCGCGTCCATATCTCCTCCCCTAATGGCTGTTCAATGGAACGTAGATGTTTTCAGTTTCAGTTTTTACAACCACTAGTCATGCACTTTTGTGCACCGGTTTTGGTTGCTGTCTTTTGGCGGCCCATTTAGATAAAAGAGAAAAAAGATGAAGATCGTAATGTTGAAAGTCAATTGAAGCAGAAGATAGAGAATTCATATAGACTGGTGTTAAGAAAATAATCAGTAGATGCATGAGCTCCACTGTTTGTGAAAACCAACCATATCGCTCAGTATCCCTGACCATCGGCGACTTTTATCTGGGGGTCTCGAGTCAGGGACAATAACGGAACCCATGTGACCCGGTCTCCTGGTTAGGGTTTTCATGCACTCATGCCAGGACTTAGTTTGACTACCCTTCACCTTTTTCCAACCTTTTTCCCTACCTTAGCAAATATCGCTTGCCGTGGAAACCTATTTGGTGACATGCGTAACACGTGCAACATAATGCGGTGTAGCTCACTGCCCCTCTTCTTCCTCCTCCTCTTTCAAAACAGCTTCGGTTTTATTTCAGTAGTATTTGCAATCATTGAAAAAACAAGACATTCACAGAACATCCTTTAGTGATGGCCACTGAGTAACGCAACATGCAAATTGGATATTCTTTCACACACAAAGAATTTATACACCGATGTTCATTTACCCAGGACCATCCGAGTACATTTGGCAACAGATCACGTTACTTCTGTGACCCTGAAAACAACCCAACTGTCCCTCAGCCCCCTCCCCCCCAATCGCCGTTATTCCGAATTTTTCATGGTTTATGATTTCTGTTCTCAATTGAATCTCAGTTCGCACCACACCACTGAAGAGGACCAGGGTAAACTATGGAAAAAAGGATCAATGAGAGACAGTATTCGTTGTGCATTTCGTCCGTGTGTTCCTTTGAAGGGAATAGGAATAATAATGTAGGAACTGTTGCAGGGGAAAGAATAGGGGTACGGGCACGTGGATAATGAATGATTTGTGGCGCGGAGCAACATTCTCTCCTTGCCCGTTTTTTGTGTCCCAAGGCGCAAGAGAACAGGAGAATGAGTTATGTAATTAATGTGAATGATTTGTGGGAAACCAATATCGCCCCCACTGCATTTGAAACAGGATTAGCGCATTGTTAAATAAATCAAATCCCAAGCAAACTACTACAATCGGACACTCATTTGACATCCGAGAACTGCATTGACATTTTTGAGTCCTAGACCGTTGGCACACACACTCAGACACGAGTGTTTTAACTTGGCACTGAGAAAGACGCGACTGAGTTGTGATTTTATGATGTAATATCATGCAACGTGCAATCAAGTCAGGAAAGATTCCAACCGAGTCACAACCCTGCAGGTCAGTGCTGAGATGCGCGAGGTCTGATGCCCACTTCAAGCTTGCAAAGATGGGTTGTATTAATTCATTTAAAGGTGGATCCGGAGTTCTCTTACACCAAAATGTCAGATTCTCAAACCGCCCAAGTGGAATTTCCAGTCTCACTGCTGCCAAAACCAGCAGTTAAACATTACGGATCATTAGCAGAGATTTCCTCATTGAAGTGTCGAAACTCTGGTGCAATATTGATTGACTGTGTTAACTAGGTCAACTTAGCTGTCTCCAGAACATCTCACTGCTACCTACATTGCAGTCAACGCATAGACTCACAGACGCGCGTGTACGGACCGGAGGGAAAATGTGTGCGTATGCGTCTGTGCACCAGAGCTGGGTTCATACTACGCAAAACTTTACGCTAATCTGTAAGTTTGAACTACTGGTTATCTGCAGCAGCGAGACTGACTAGTTGAACTTGTTTATTCAAAATAAAAAGCCATCTGATCAGCTATTCGGTGGTATGGTTGCATTCTTTCTGTAGGATTCTGGGTTCGATCCCCAGTGGGGTCAATCGATTCGTACAGATGATGAGATCCAAACAGGTCAATACAACTGTCCAGTGCTTCTTAAGTTTTCAGTTTACGCTTCATTTACATGACGAATTTATCAGATAATGTGTTTGAAGTTCAGATTAAAGTAATCTGCTCGATGGTGATAATGAGGATGACCGTTTTAGTGAATGATACCATGTGGCACTACGGTTGTCATTTATCGTAATAGGATGGTTACATATATAAACTTTCCACCAACAAATAGCTGTACCATCCATACTGAGGTGCACGTGAAGCTACTAATCAAATGTGGCCAGGGGAAATATATATGCAGGAATGTTAGGTGATGGTTTGAACAAACAACCATCATAGGGATGCAATCAACAACCACTAATGAAATACACCTTCTCCCATCAATCTTTAGCCCAAACTCTCAGTCTTAAAACCTGACTCTAAAATCTTTAGCCAAAATCCGACATGATTTGGCTACGACTTGCAGTCCTTTAGTCTCGGCGCAAAAACGTTTGTCGGATCAAAAAGTATCGGAATATTCTGATGTCACAAAGCTTGATTAGGAATTGAGAAGGCGTGGCGATCGCATGCTGCACTCCATGTTAACTGGATAAGGTTTAACCATTTGACACATCTCGTACAGCTTCAGTGTTTCTGTATAACATACGATACTCCTGTGGGTGACACCGTTCACAAAAGACACTTCGGTTTAATTACGTTGTAAAATTTGACATAATTACCATGGTCTAAGTTGAAGAATTTCGGGATTCGTCCAAAGCTTGATGGACGAAGGTGTAATAACGTAGTAATTTCCTTTTCATTAACTCAGTATACATTGGCACAATCAATTTTTTTTGCTAACGAAGCTATAGTCAAGCAAAATGACATCAAACTGATACATTGAAAAATTGACAAATAAACCATTTGTTTTGAAAACTGCAATCAATATTTGGTGAACTTTTGTAGGAGTTAAATTAGATTAACTGTTACGCAAGCATATCTTTACTCGTTCTCATCCATATTTCTGTGGTCGCACTCACTCCTTCCGTTCCCTGGTGCGGTGAAACAGAAACCGAATCCAATCGACCTGGTGGGCTGGAGGATCTGGCATTGAAACCCGCTCACATGTTTGACCATCTGGACCTGTTCATCGAATTACAATCACGTAGTTTGGACCAACGCCTACAAGTAAGCGCGGTTTCAGTTTAGCTTTCACAGAGCCCATAAAATGCATTCACTGTGTGAACTTTGAAATGCCTGGTTCGTTTTTTCTCCTGTTTTGCTACCGATCATCATAGCCCCAGTTGAAATCAACGTTAATTAGACAGAGGGTTGCCGGATTTTATTACCAGGCTAATCTACTCCCATGCAGTTGGGCAATGTATTCTTTGCTGACGTAAAGCACGCTGATCTCGCGACAAATTTGGTGTCTCTGTCCTAAAGAAAACCTCAATCTACGTCCAGGGGCTTAGGAACAAAGGATTTCATCACCTCCTTTCCGAACCCAACTGAGTTATTGTTTCGTCAGAATTTGTAACCAATGCCCATGGTTGATCATAACGAATTGCTTATTCGTCGGCGCACCGAGGTTATAGGGAATTTTGTGAAACTACCACGAACTATCAACAAGGATGTATTCACAATGGGAGACACGACAAATGACTGATAAAATGTGTTGGAAAAATGCTTTCATCTGATCGATCTCTTGCCGGACACAAAACCGTTTATGGTTCGACAGACTAGGAGCACAGAGTAACCCATCAGTACCATTTCATAATATACATCAACTTGTGCACATTTGCAGTGCCCTCTTTGTTAGAGGATAATTAGATCCTTGTTCAAACCTTCCACTGTAAGAGAACTGTCAATTTCAATCTTGGTTCAACCTCAGTCGATAGCGGGATCAGGGTTGACCTGATAACCACGACCATGATGGTCTTAGCAACACTTACGAACCAAACTAAATGATTACATCAGGGATTCCTCAACGCGGCCTAGGCATGGGGAACAGGTTATGCAACTGGGGTAGTGTATGAAGCGAACCTCTGGCAGACATTCTTGAGTAGCTGTGGTTGAACTAACGCAGTAGACAATTTACTTCGTCTTCGAGTTCGTTTTTCACTCGTCTTCATTTTTTCGTGCACACGTTTCATTTTCCTTTCTCGTAATTTGCTCACATCAAAATTGCACACCCATTATATCAAGTTATGGAAGGTGACCTCTCGATCTGTTGCAAAAGTTTCGACTATGACACACGTAATTTTCTACTTAAGGCTAACGCCTAACAGGTATGTGCCCTCTTTAACTGACGAACCATCTTTGTAAGTTCCCGATGCAAAATTCTCTTCATGATGAAGTGACTGAGATACAGTAGTCTCTTTCCACTCTGACAGTGTAAAAGGCAAACAGAATTTGACCTTGAATTTTGCGCAGTAGACTACATGAAGAAAGACTCGCTGTTTCACAAACTCACCTGAAAAAGAGGGAGTCTGTTCCGGTATTTTTCCTCTTCTGATATGGTAAATTTCATGAGCATTTAGTAGACCACGTATGACAAATCATAAATTTCTTATTCGATCGAAAACATACTATCTCGATGAACGAATTCTTCAAGAACTAATTAAAAAGAGCCGAGTATATTTACACATTTATATATTTTATATATATTATATATCATATCATTATATTATTATTATATTATATTATTATCATACTATTATTATTATTATATATATTTATATTTACACATTTGGCACGGCTCACCTCCGAGACAAGATTGTTGAAGTATTATGTTTCCTCGAGATCTCAGTTTCCTGTGTGAACTACAGTCACTTCCACCTCCCCCCCCGGTCGGGGGAAATTTCCGTCATGATTGTGCAACTATGATTTCAGTTATTTTCTCCTTCCGAATACCAAATGATAATGATCAAAANCAAAAAGTGTTCACGGATTTCCTCTTTGGGATTCAGTTTAATTTTCCCGGTGAAAATCACCCAAACTGTTGTTCTGAACAAAGATGTCGATTTTAAACGATTTTTGCTTTGGACTTGATAAAAAAAGGTCATCGATCATTTTTGGAACTTTCAAGATCAGGAAATCAATAATGCGCAAAGCGGAAATCTAGCCCATATCTGGGCAAGGGTAGAAAACTTGGCAAGCAAAGAACGATCCAATGCACCAAAAGAAAAAAAAATAATTAATCAAGTGTTACTTTATTTCATTGTATGTCGGGGTTGACACATTCAAACGGTTGACTCGATTTCGAGTGAATACGCGCAACTGNACTGATTGGCCACGCTCTCGTAATCACTGACCACTTGTTACTGTATGCGAACGTTAGTCCGTGAACAACGGGACGTACCATAGAAAAGTAGGATTAGTGTTGAGAATACACGTCTACGTTTTCTTCTCTCCTTTTTGTGTCCTAGTTGATGGGATTGGTTAGGATCCGAACTTTTCTGTTCCCCTCACCACAGAAATTGCAAAATAAAGGCGGATGAGATCTGCTTTTTGCCACAAAAACCAATGTGCTTCTTTCTGAGGCAAAGAGAACAGCCCAACATTCAGCACCATTCCAGGTGACATTTCTGAAGTCAAGTTAAGCATTTTCACGCTTTTACGGCAGTGAACGTTTTCCTGTATTAATGTTTAGTTGTAACACAGGGATACAAAACAATTGGTCTGTACAGGACAAAGTATCCAGATTTCAACTATTAGATCCTCCTAAATCTATGGGTAGACTGAATGTCTTCCTTCAGTTGGCTCCTTGGAGAGGATAAGCCGGATCTGATGAATATCATGAGATTTTACCGCAGAGAGGTACAAGAGATGCTACACACCGTTCTTCAAGGAAGCATCACTAGTCTCTGCACAACTATGAGCGTGTTGCAGGGTGGTAATATGTTGGTGCTTGGTTTTCAGTGGATCACTGAAACATTTCGATAGGTTCAAATGCAGCCCATGAACGCATGCATCTCTATTGAACAGCTTTGCTTTGTAGCTCACGACAGACTTCGCTCGCCACTTGGAGTGTGCGCAACTTAGCCCTATGCTCTATGTCGTCTCGTTGATGTTTTCATGCGTCGGTTTCTCCCAAATCTGATTCATTTCACCTCTCAATTGGGGTGCCTTGGTGTGACCACTGATACGGGATTCAGCTTCTTTGAATCACCGATAAAATGTGGATACTCGAGGGAAACAGAAAGAAATGAAATACATAGTGCGACAGAAGTACTCCACCCCCCTGGAGCTTTGGATTATCTCTGCTCCCTCATGCACGTTCAGCACCATTTTGAGATTATTGACGGAAATGGAATAAAAAAACCATCATCATCTTATCCTTAATTTGAAAGAAACCAGGTCAAAAAATCACAAAATCTGTACCGCGACAAAAGTATTACTCTCCCTATGAACTTCACTCGTTAAGGCCACTTTATTATTCTGTATAAGATTGCGAATCATATTTGAGTCGACATTATTCCACCTCCCAATCAATAGTGCCTCTAATTTATGTGTTGCGATGTAAACCATGGAGTGTTGATACCCTTTTCTGCATTCAGGCCACATCATTGTTTTCGAGCTGCGAAAAATAACCAGCAACCGGTTAGATACGGGTAAGGATTTACGGCGATATCATGCTGTAAAGTGGCTTCAGGGTGATCACTCAATGTCATTGCTCGCATATGGTGTTTCTCCCATGTACGATTGTATGCATGAGAACATTGCACCGCACGCAGTATAGCGAGTTTCATTGGGCCGTTGCTTGATCAGACACCCCATAAAATCACGGAGTCGCGATCGCTAAGCCTCTTACAGAAACACCGCTCTTTCCACAGATCATACCAGCAGTAGTTACACAAGTCAGGTCCGTCTAAACTCAATTTCTCCTCGTCATCGCTAAAGAAGACGAAATTTCATTCGTCTTTCCAAGATACACTAGTTTCAGCTCATAATAAAGCTCATACTGTTTGCCAAGTCGTTAAAACTATGCGTCTTCTCATTTTGTCGTACCTGATCCAAGGGAAATTTTTGAAATATTCACTGTACCGTTCGCATCGAATGCTTAATTCAAGCACCGTCTTGGTTTCCTATTCATGTGGAAAACATAAGCAGCAATCAGCCTCTACCTTTTCCCGAGAGCTTTTTCTAGCATTCAATCCA